GTCAAGCCCTACCTCACCTGCCATCCGATGCGCAGACACCTGGCCGCGCTGCTCGCTCGTCGTCCTCATCATGTATGCCTCTCGGCGGAGCGTGCTCACAAGCTGGGTCCACGGAGCCACTCTGTGGTGGTCCTGCTGCTGCAGCTTCGGTTAGCGGCAGCTGGTTGCCTCAGTAGCGGGTCTCCGATAGGGGCCTGCGCCTCGCGGCGCTGCGGAGCGGACAGCCGTTCTGCAGCCGATTCACCGCTCCACTGCTCTCACCGTTCCGCAACCCCACTGAGTTGCTGTCGTCGATCGTGGGGTTTAATCCTCGCCATGCGCTGCACCATCCACTTCTCCCTGAACTGCGAGGTTATCATCTCAGGGGCTTCCGCCTTCTCTCATCGCCAGCCCTGTGGGCCGTGGATCCTTTTGTTGTCTAGCCACCAGGTCCCCAATTCTACGTGCGCTCCTCCTTCTCCTCTTCCTCCTCCACCTCCTCCCTACCCACTCCTCCTCCCTACCCGCTCCTCCTCCCTACCCGCTCCTCCTCCATCCTCTTCCTCCTCCTCCTCCTCTCCCCTTGGCCCGCCATCTCCTGGCGAGTTCTGCCTCCTGCGCAGCGTCCCGCCAGCTGCCGAGCATGCCCGCGCCCTGAACCTGAAGTGGCTCCGGCGACGCCGTGCAGCGTCCAGACAGCTTGTGCCTAGACGTTCGGCGGCCCCGTTGCTTCTGGAGGAGGATGGTCCTTCTCCTCCTCCTCCTCCTCCTCCTCCTCCTCCTCCTCCTCCTCCTCCTCCTCCTCCTCCTCCTCCTCCTCCTCCTCCTCCTCCTCACTCCTCCTCCCTCAAAAAACCGTCCTCACTCCTCCTCCCTCATCCTCCTCACATTTCCTCCTCGACCTCACTCCACCTTCTCCTCTTCCCTCTCCTCCTCATCCTCCTGCTTCTACTCCTCCTCACCATCTCCTCCTCGTCCTCACTCGTCTTCCGCCTCATAATCTTCACCATCAGCATCACCATCATAATCATCAGCAGCATCATCATCAGTATCATCATCATCAGCATCAGCAGCAGCATCATCATCAGCATCGTCATTATCATCGTCATCATCATCGTCATCATCATCTTCATTATCATCATCATCATCATCATCGTCATCATCATCATCATCCTCCTCATCCTCCTCATCATCATCATCATCATCATCATCATCATCATCATCATCATCATCATCATCATCATCATCATCATCATCGCCAGCATCGTCGTCATCGTCGTTATCATCATCAGCAGTATCGTCAGCATCGTCGTCATCATCATCAGCAGCATCATCAGCATCATAATCATCATCAGCAGCATCATCATCAGCATCATCATCATCATCGTCAGAATCAGCATCGTGGTCGTCGTTGCGGTTGTCGTCATCATCATTACCATCATCATCATCAACAACATCATCATCACATCATCACCAGCAGCAGCAACATCAGCATCAGTTTCCGCATCATCCAGCAGCAGCATCATCACATCACCATCCCCTTTCCACCTCGTCCTCCTCATCCCCTCCTCTTCGTCGTCCTCATCCTCTTTCTCGTCCCTCAGTCCTCCTCTCCTCTCCTCCTCATGTTCCGTCGTCGTCCGCTCTAGACAAAAGACGAATGTGGCCACCGATAGCGATACACTTCCCCAGATTGTGAGTCTTTGGACCACTTGGGGGGCCCGCCGCGGCTGGATTGGCCTTGGAACCCTGGTCAGAACGCACACTCGGAGAGGTCCAAAAGTGGCGGTATCGTTCTACATGCCTGTTCGTCCAGGAAGAGGCTGGAGGCTTAGAAGCTGGCAGCGGCACCAACGCCCAGGATCGCCCCCGCCGGTTGAACGTCATCCCCAACCTCGACGACGGCGGTCGTCGTCGGGGCTATCAGGCAGCACGCCCAGCTCCAGGAGCATCCTCCCCTCTGCAGAGGCGACCCCGTGCATCGGTGCTGGTGCCAGCGTCCTGGCCTCCGAGGAGAGGGGCGGCTGTGGGGAGGCCTTGGCATCGCTCGGACGTGTGCATTTTTTTCTCGGCGAGGACCATCGAGGACCATCCTGGACCATCGAGCAAAAAAAACACGCGCGAAACCGAAAAACGCACGGGAAATGGACGTCCGAGCGACGGCAAGAGGGGGGGGGGCCCCAGGGGAGCGAGTCACCTCCTGGCCGCAGCTTTTCTCGGGGGCTGCCCAGCGGGGTCCCCCGGGCCGGGGTCCCAGGCCGGGGGGCCCCAGGAGCCGCCCGTGGGCCTGCTGTGCGTCTGGAGCCCCTCCTCGACCTTCCCCGACGTCCGACAGCCTGAGCCAAGCTCGCGACGCGGAAAAAGCCTCGGCCTGAGCTGTCGGCCCCATCCTGCCGCGACGTCTCTCGAGCCCGCTCGATCCGTCGGGGCCTGGGCACGAAACGGGGCGAGGGCACGCAAAGAGCCACACCTCAGAGGGATGGTGAGTTTCCCAGCCGGTCTTTGGAGGTTGGGCTCTCGTTCTGAATCTGCAGCACCCCGCGCCCGCCTCCCTCCCCCTCCCTCCACTTCTTGCCCCTGTTCTCCGCATCCCCCCCCTCTTTGCATCTGCCCTCCACGCGTTCATGTCGGCATACCCCTCCCACATGTCGTGGACCCAGACGGGGCTCCAACGATGGCCCCAGTGGCACACGCGCTTCGTGGCCCCAGAGGGTGCTCCACCGAAGGCCCCAGCGGGCCGCCACCGTTGCCATGGGAGCTTCGCATGCAGTCTCAGTGGGCGCATGCGCAAGGCGCCACCTCGCCAATTTCGGCGCGCCCCTCACGAAAAGAAAAACATAAAACAATAAACAAATAAAACAATCAATAAAAAAGCAGCAAAAAATCGGCACGCCCCTCACGAGGACCGTGGCCCCACGGGGAGCTTCCCACACGGATCGCGGCTCACAGGGGCCCGAGGTCCTCCGACTGCGGCCTCAGTGTGCACCGTCGCATGCGGGCCTCCGTCCAATCGCACCCCTCGCACGGCTCGTGTCCCCTTAGGAAGCTCCACCTTGCACGGCCCAGTGGGCGCGCCCGCGTGCCGTTCCCGCGGGCCTCCGTCCAATCACACCCCTCGCACGGCCCGTGCCCCCTCTAGGAAGCTCCACCTTGCACGGGCCCAGTGGGCGCGCCCGCATGCCGCTCCCGCCCACGTCGGCACACCCCACCCGCGGCTCGCTCCTGGCAGGGACCCCCAGGCTCCGTCCATGCCGCGGCGCGAAGGACGCGTGAGAGAAGGGGGCCGCGCCCTCTGCCACGCGCAGCTGCACAGGGCTGGGCCCCTCGGCGGGGCCAGTGCATGCGCGGGCCCTGGAGGACCCAGGGGACCCAGGGGACCGGCAGGGACCCAGGGGACCCAGGCGCCGTCCATCCCGCGGCGCGGAGGGCGTGAGAGAGACGGGGGCCCCGCCCTCGGCCACGCGCAGCGGCACAGGGTTGGGCGGGCCCCTCGGCGGGGCCAGGCCATGCGCGGGCCCTTCAGGACTCGACCCCCTTCCCCGGGCCCAGGACGCCCGGGAGCAGCCTCATCCCGGCAGCCGCAAGTGGAGGACCCCTGACCTTCCAGGGAGCTATTGTTTAGCTCTGGAGACCTAAAAACCTAAAAAACGAGACGAAACAGCCTAAAACCAAGACGTATAATAGCTCTGGGATAGGTTTTTAAGTCGCGTGCTATTTTTTTGCCCTCCTGGAAGGTCAGGGACAGGGCGCCGAGGTTCCGGAGAAGCCCTCCGCCAAGAGGTCTGGGCACGTCCGTCGAGCGCTGCTCTTCCGGGGCCGTCAATTCTGCTCTTGGCACCGCTCGGACGTGTGCGTTTCTTTTTTCTCGGCGAGGACCATCGAGGAGCCTCCTTGCTCATTTGGAGAAAAAAAACACGCACGAAGCCGAACAAAAACACAGGGAATGGACGTCCGAGCGATGGCCAGCTGCTCGCCTCAGCCAGCCTGGCCGGGCGGACCGTGGGCCCGGCACGGGCCTGCCCGGGATCGGTGAGGAGGCTGCTCCGAGCTGTCCGGCAAGTCTCAGAGCGTGAATTACCTACCCCGCTTTCGCTTCCAGGCAGAACCAGGTCATACCACGCGCCTCCTCGTCAAGCGGCCTGACCAGTACAGGCCGTAGTTTGGCATCGTCTGGTATCTCTTGGAAGCGAGGGTGGTCAAAAGCGAGGCAGGTTTGCTTTCCCCCTAAAGTCAGCGCCCCCCGGGTGCCACCCCGCCCCGCGGCCCGGTCTCGCCCCGCCATACGCGCACCGCACCGCCCCCGCCCTGGCGCGATCCGGCGAAACCCCCTCCCGACGCTCCGCAGAGGACTCCTCCTCCTCCTCCTCCTCCTCCTCCTCCTCCTCCTCCTCCTCCTCCTCCTCCCCCCTCCATCCTCCTCCTCCTCCTCCTCCTCCTCCTCCTCCTCCTCCGCCTCCTCCTCCTCCTCCTCCTCCTCCTCCTCCTCCTCCTCCTCCTCCTCCTCCTCCTCCTCCTCCTCCTCCTCCTCCTCCTCCCCCCTCCCCCCCGGCGCGATGCACCCAGCCACGCTCACTGCACAGCGATCGGGGGGCCTGGGCCCCTGGCGCTGTGACCTGTTCGAGCGTGACCCCCCCAGTCTTCAGGCAGTGGCGGAGCGTCCCCGCTTGCCTCTATCTGCCTACCAGAGAATGTTCTGAGAGCCTTTTGTGGTCTGCACGCGATGTTCTTAGAACATTTCTGGCTGGGACTGTCTTGTTTTAGCACATCGGGTGTATGGTTTAAGAACATTGTTTTTATTATTCGAACATTTCTGGGTTCTAAGAGAATTTCGCGGTAGGCCTTTAGAAATGCCAGGACGGTCGGTCCCTGCTCAAAGTCTGCCCCCTTGCCAGGACCGGCTTTCCCGCCCCGGGTCGTTTTTCGACGGCCCCTTGGGCCCAGCGAGGGCCCACGGAGAGGCCAGAAAGTGGCCACGCGCCCTCCAGATTGGAGTTCGTCACGACGCAAGGGGCTCTGGGAAGCTGCCTCTCCTGGTTCTCCGCGGCGCCTGGGCGTCGGGGCCGTTCTGCAGCACGGCCGTGCTCCCCGCAGGCGCGGCGCGCTCCGACGCGAGTGCTGCCCCTGCCCTGCGTGAGCTCTCGCCCTGCCGAATTCGTTTCGAGCGGCGGGGCGCCAGGACAGCATCCCGTTCGGCGGTGCGCGGCGGCAAGAGGAACAAGATGCAGGAGGGACAGGAGGAGGACGGAGGAGGAGGAGGAGGAGGAGGAGGAGGAGGAGGAGGAGGAGGAAGAGGAGGAGGAGGAGGAGGAGGAAAAGGAGGAGCGTGAGGAGGAGGAGGAGGAGGAGGAGGAGGAGGAGGAGGAGTTGGAGGAGGAGGAGCAGGAGGAAGAGGAGGAGGAGGAGGAGGAGGAGGAGGAGGAAAAGGAGGAGGAGGAAAAGGAGGAGGAGGAGGAGGAGGAGGACGACGACGACGAGGAGGACCAGTGCGAAGCCACGACGCGTCCCTGATGTTGCAGTAAGCCCTCCCTCCAAGTTCACTCTTCGTGGGTCCCGTCAAGAAGTTGCCTTCGTTGCAGGATAATCAGGTCTTGTTGGAAGGCAATCGTCTGAGAATCCTCCACCGCGCCAAAGCAGAACTCTTGTGAACTAAGCGCCGCGAATCAACGTGACTCTTGCGTCCTGATCTGTAGAGCTCACGTCATCATGACCCCCGGCGCGCGAGGGCAATGGCCCCGCCGACCGCCCCCCCATAGCTCCGTTTCAGGAAATCCGGCGAAGCCGGCGACGAATTCCAAACCGGCGCCCTCGCGTGGGACAACCTCGATCAGAAAAAACAGCCCCCGGAGCCTCCCCAAGAAGGACCTCAGATCAGAGCCCCGAATCATCAGGGGTAACTCGGGTCAGGGCTAACTCGGGTTCGTTTTTCGGGAGTCCGAACCCGAGTTATCCCGGACCCGAGTTACCCCGGATATTTCGGGCGTCCAGAGCCCCGAATCATCAGGGGTAATTCGGGTCAGGGTTAACTCGGGTTCGTTTCTCGGGAACCCAAACCCGAGTTACACCGGACCCGAGTTACCCCGGATAACTCGGGCGTCCAATCAGAGGCCGGCCCCCTTGTTCCGGGGCCCGGCGAGATCCAGGAAATCCGGCGAATCCGGCGATGAATTCCAAACCGGCGCCCTCGCGTGGGTCATCCCCAGAAAAACCGCTCCTGGAGCCTCCCCAAGGAGGCCCTCAGAGCCCCTGTTCCGTTTCAGGAAATCCGGCGAATCCGGCGACGAATTGCAAAACGGCGCTCTCGCGTGGGACATCGAGCGTCCCCAAGAAGGCCCTCAGAGGCCCCCCTGTTCCATGTCGGGCGAGATCCGGGAACTCCGGTGAATCCAGCGATGAATTCCGCACCGGCGCCCTCTTGTGGGACACACGACATTCGTCCCGCCGACCCCGGAGCCTCCCCAAGGAGGCCCTCGGAGGCCCCCCTGTTCCGTTTCAGGCGAGATCTGGCGAAAACGGCCACGAATTCCAGACCAGCGTCCTCGCGTGGATCATCCTCAGAAAAACCGGCCCTCAGAGGTCCCCCTGCTCCGTTTCCGGCGGAATCGGGGAAATCCGGCGAATCCGGCGTCGAATTCCAAGCCGGCGCCCTCACGTGGGACATCCTTCCAGGAAAACCGGCATGGAGCCTCCCCGAGGAGGCCCTCGGAGGCTCCCCTGTTTTGTTTCCGGCGAGATCCAGGCGGCGAGAGGCGACGAATTCCAAAGTACTGGCGTCCTCGCGTGGGACATGCTCAGAAAAACCGCTCCTGGAGCCTCTCCAAGGACGCTTGCAGAGGCCCCCCTTGTTACGTTTCCAGCGAGATCTGGGAGATCGGGCGAATGCGGCGACGAATTGCAGACAGGCGCTCTCGCGTCGGACATTCGCAAAAAGACCGGCCCTCTGAGCCTCCTCAAAGAGGCTTTCGTTTCTGGCGAATTGTGGAAAATCTGGTGAGATCCAGGAAATCTGGCGGCGAATTCCAAAGCAGCGCCCGTGCGCGGGACATCCTCAGAAAAAGCAGCCCCCTGAGCCTCCCCAAGGAGGCCCTCAGAGGCCTCCCTGTTCCGTTTCAGGCGGGATCCGGGAAATCCCCGGGGCGGAGGAGGAGGGGGGACGAGGAGGAAAAGGAGGAGGGAGGAGGAGGGCGAGGGGAGTTGGAGGAGGCAGGGGAGGAAGAGGAGGAAGAGGAGGAGGAGGAGGAGGAGGAGGAGGAGGAGGAGGAGCAGGAGGTGGAGATTGCCAGCATGGCGACGGGGGGCGCCACGCCCGCCCGATCCTCACCCCCTGATTTTCATTCTCACCATCCTCGCTCTCCTGGCCCTCCTTGTCTACATCCCCATCCTCCTGCTTAACGTTCGCCTGATCCTCACCCGCGCGACCGTCACTCTCCTGATCCTCCCGCTGGCAAGCCTCGCCCTTATGATAATCACGCTCGTTCTCATCTCGATCATTTGCCTCTCGCCGAGAAGCGTACGCCCCTGCGTCTATATACAGAAACTCCCGATCAACTGCAGGGCGGCTGGCTAGTAATCCTAGTAAGCCGTGTCATAATGCTATTCTTGGGATTCCAGCGCTGCGAATCAACTTGGATGTTGCGTCCTGACACTCCTAAACCGTGTCAGAACACCATTCCTGGGACTTCAGCCATACGTAAATTTGAAGTTGCAAGCTGTTAAGACAAATGCGCGGCACGTTTTGAAAAGGGACCGCCCTCCACCATTGAAGCTGTGGCAAGTTGCAAACTGCTAAGACGAGTGTGCGCGGCGCTGAGGTGAGATGCGCATTCTGAAAACCACCCGCCTTCCATCGCGGAAGCTGTTGCAAACGTTTGAGACGAATGTGCGCAGTACTACGGCGAGAGCCATATGTTCAAAACCACCCGCACTCCATCCTCGCAGCTGTTGCAAACTTTTGAGACGAGCGTGCGCGGCGCTACGGCGAGAGCCACATCTTGAAGATCACCCGCCCTCCATCCTGGAAGCTGCTGCAAACTGTTGAGACACATGCGCGCCGCGCTACGGCGAGAGCCACGTGTTCCAAACCACCCGCCGTCCAGCCTTGAAGCTACTGCAAAGTTTGAGGAGGAGGAGGAGGTGGAGGAGAGGGGGAGGAGGAGATGGAGGAGGAAGAGGAGGAGGAGGAGGAGGAGGAGGAGGAGGAGGAGGAGGAATAAGAGGAGGAGGAGGAGGAGGAGGAGGAGGAGGAGGAGGAGGAATAAGAGGATGATGATGATGATGATGATGAGGAGGAGGAGGAGGAGGAGGAGGAGGACCATCTATTCCTCCACCCTCCCTACCCCGTCTTCTCCTGCCTCCTCGGGCCCACCGGGGAGCCTCCTCTCACCACCAGGACTCCCAGAGAATTTCCGGAAACCACGTGAAAGATTTCAAACCCTTTTTCCCTCGGGTGAGGACGAGTCGCAGGTTTTGAAAAAACGTTTGACGAGGAGGAAGAAGAGGATGAGGTGAGGGAGGAGGAGGAGGAGGAGGAGGCTCTATTTTCCCCCTCATCGATACCCTCCTCCCCCTCCCCCTCCTAGTTCCTTCCTCCCCCTCATTATCCCCCAGCTCCTTCGCCCCTCTCCTTCGACGCTGCGCTCCTCCTCCCCTCCCTGTTCCCCTCGCTCCCTCGCTCCCCGTCTCTCACCTCTCTCCTCCCTGTTCACGCTCCTGCCTTGCTCGCTCCTCATCCTCCCTACGAGCAGCGGCTCCTCCTGCGCACGCCCCACGTCGTGCTCCACGAAGCCAGGACAGCAGAAGGTGCACTCCAGTGGCCCCGGGGGGTGCTCACGATCCTTGCGCGCACGCCGCCTCCAGGCAGGGCCACGAGGGCACACCCACCAATCCAGGGCCCGGGGCCCGCCCAGAGTCTCCTCTTGGCACCCGTGAAAAATGATCCTGGCGAAGGACCCAACCATATGCAATTGTGAATAACGCTTTGTGGGTGCCGCTTTCGGTGGGGCTCCTTATGGGGCCACGAAAGGCGTGCCACGAAACGCTGTCCTGGGCGTACGGGACGCATGAGGGCGGTAGCATTGGGGCCTTCGGTGGAGCTCCCCATGCGGCCACGGAACGTGTGAGGGGTGTGCCGAAATGGGTACGGCGCCGCCATGCGGACGCAGCCACTGGGGCCTTCGGTGGAGCTCCGTATGGGGCCACGAAACGTGTGAGGGGTGTGCCGAAATGGGTGCGGCGCCGCCATGCGCCCGCAGCCACTGGGGCCTTCGGTGGAGCTCCCTATGGGGCCACGAAACGTGTGAGGGGTGTGCCGTGATAGTGGGAGGAGGGAGGAGGGAGGGGGGAGGGGGCAGCGGGAGGAAGGAAGGAGTGAACGCTGGGCGCTGTCTCTTCAAAACGAGGACCCAACACCACAGGATGGTTGGGAAAAAGAAGTACCAGAGTCGCGGGAGTGCTTGCCCCGCTGCGCGAGCCCCGGGAACTTCGCGGATCGACCCGTGGTGCGAAGCCATGCCGGGCAAAGATGGGCCGACGACTCGGGTGTGATCGTTTACCACGCTGCCATTCTTTCATTGCGGTTCGACTGGGGGATCGACTGCAGAATTGAGTTACCCCAAAATTGATGTTCACGTCGACTCCTCAACAAAAATACGTCAACCATTCGTAGATCTGCGAAAGTTCTACGAATTTTCGACAAGAAAAATCCATTGAGGGGCAAATCAATTCTGTAGTCGATCCCCTACTCGAATGGTGGATTGCGGGCCGGTAAATAGCTGGCGGCCTCCTACATACTCCCCCCCCAACTTCGGAGAGCGGGCCTTCACTTGGGCAGGACCGGCCGCAGCAGTTTCGCCGTGGTGCGGGACGCCTGGGAGTGGCGAAGCCCACACGCCCCGTGCACGTTCTTCGCAGAGCCCTGGCGGCAAAACCCCCGCGGCGCACACCCGCGTCTCGGGTCCGATGTTCTGCACGAGCGAGATGGGCACGGAAAGAATGGGTACAATGTTCAACAGCAGTCCCTGTTCATTTTGAACAGGACTCGCTGTCCG